CACACCGATAACTGCCGTCTTGAAGCCTAGCGCTGACCAAATCAGCCGCCATGTGCCTCTGGGACCGCTTCCGTAAGTGCACAGTCCATGCCACTGTACGACGTCTGATTGTTCAACTCACCATATTTCTTTTCTGTCACACCAGTTACGCACGACGAGACAGCCCAACGTATCAGCCTTACAGAAGGTGTGCGAAACCTTTCGCATTTTTTTTTTCAAATTCATCCCTCTCACAATCAGTAGCCTTGTCTATGTATTGATGTTTACTGCAGGTAGACGTGTTTTAAGTTGATGCTTGTATCTTAATGTTTGCTATGATCAGAATCAGATATGATGTGACGTCCAGGAGTAGCCTACAGCTTTTCATGTTGAATGCTGTGTTGGGGAGGGGGGTGGGTGTTATATCGACATAGCGGATCCCAGCCTACCTATCGTAATGTGTGTTGGGATTGTGTTTTATGTCTTGTGAAGTGGAAACATCAGTGAGTTGTTGTTGTGCCCTGCTCAACAGAGAGTCATCGGAATCCAGCTCCCGGTCGCGTTCCCACTCCCCGGTGAACGAGGGTCAGGTCACATTCATCACCAGCTTCGGCGGCGAGGAAAGCCCGTCCCGAGCCCAGCAAGCGTCCATCGGACCTCACCTGCCGTCGGCACACCCTCCCCAGCACGGATCCTCCTCTCGTACTGATCAGTCTCGAGCTCAGTCCCGGTCGGTGCACCAGTCCTTCGCCTTTCAGATACTCTGCCATTTGCTGGACTTCAGAGTAACGCTTTCGGGGTTAATGACGGCAAGGGGAAAGTCGGGTTGTGGACGTTAGAATGTTTTAGCCAAGACCGTAAATGAACTGTGGGAAGGGAGGGAAATTTTCAGTTGCTGCGCAAGATTGAAGTCGTCAGTGCCTGGAGGTAAGAGGTAGGTGATTGCGATGAAAGGACAATGGACTTGAGTTATGCTTTTTGCTTCTGTGAGGTAAGGACAGACAATCTAGGACTGTGTGTAAAGGAGACCACTGCCATGTTATTGTACAGGCAACCTCTGTTGTTGTTGTGGATGTGTTTTGTGAGTTGGCAAAGTGTTAAACAGTTGATAATAATCCCGTGTTTGTTCCCCCCTGGCAGTTCTGACAAGAAACACAGACGACGGAGTAGCAGCTCCAGAAGCTCATCAAGCTCATCTTCTAGGTCATCCTCCAGGTCCAGGTCACGGTCTCACTCCAGATCACATTCATACGACAGACACCACTCCAGGCACAGACGCAGCTCCAGAGACCACAGTAGGTATTCGCGATCGGGATCCAGGGACCGACACAGGCGAAGACGTACCCGAGAAAGGTCGCACGAACGAGGGGGGCGGTACAAAGATGTGTCTCGGATGTACCACGGCAGGTCTAAGAGCAGATCGCGATCTCGAGACAGAAGGAGGTCGACATCTTACAGCCGTCGCAGGTCAAGATCGAGGTCAGCATCGAGGGATCGTGGCCATCGCAGGAGCCGGACTAATTCTCCAGCCCATAGAAAATCGCGCACACGAAGTCGAAGCCACGATCGCACAAAGAGCAGCAGTGAAAAAAGGGAGCTTGAGGCAAAAGCTACTAAGTGAGTAATAGAAACTAGCCACCATGAACAGCCCTGTTTTTCAACCATTTGCATTTCCCTTTCAAGATTGTATATCACCACTACTGTGAGAGTGACATCTACATATGGTTGATGGCATACGGAATAATTTAGTCTCACTTTGCTGCTATGTCTCTTTCTGTCTCTGTAGGCCTGACACCCCACAAGCCGGTAAAGCAACAGAGGCCCTGAAAGTCAGTAAGAATCATTGACATTTTCTTGCTTATTGCTCACATCAACTGTGAACTGTAACTTCTTAGCTCATTGTAATTTCATGTGCGTCCTCACCGGCTTGAACTTGGCACTGTAAATTACCCAAGTCAGGCGGGATGAGCACACCTATAAATATGCACAACGTGCCAGACCTCCGTAAGGTGGCGGAATCTGCATTACCAATTCTGTCGCTAACGTGCACTTTTCAAAATGTGAATGCTGCCTGCTGACCTGTGCCGGTATTTTGATTCGCTCCCCGAGAACATTTACTGCTCACCTTTAAGAAGTTGATATTCGGCAGACAAACAAGCCATGGCTGAGTCAGAATGTGTTTGTAATTTGGCCCTAATGACCGTTTTATGAATCCCCCTTTTTGCCAATTCCCTGTCTCTACCGCCCAGGGTGATGTACACAAAGGTTGCAGATTGCCAATAGACGACTGCGCATATTCCCAGCTTCTGAGAAGAAGGCACCTACTTTTGCATGAAACACGAAAGATGTTAATTTGATCACAAGAGAGGGAAGAAAAGTGCAGACTGTACTATTAGGAATATTAATTCCCCTCTCCCCTGTGTACCTCCCATATGCATGCAATTGCGCTCGCGCAAGTAAATTTTATCTACCGTTGCTGTTTTCGGGGTAGCAGTCGAAACAGTTGACCCTAGCGCGGGGGAGGGCAGCTGCTAATTACCAGTCCTTAATTGGTGAATAATAACGATATCACAGATGCGGCGGGGATGCCATAAATTCCTGTGCGTAGCTTTTCTTTTTTTTTCCAGCAGATATATTTCATGCTCGGTGGCTCCAAGCAGACATTGCAACATTTCACAAACATTGTAAATTGTTGTAGGATGGTTTGGGGGTTAAGAATGCATGGGTGAGGGTGTCCTTGGTTTTTTTTATCTTCTACGATCCAGGCAGTGACACCTGGTACTTGGTGTAGATGTGATCTGCTCTGCCCGGTGTAGATAAAAGTTTGGCATGCCCTTTGGGATTGGTAGCCAGTGGGTGAAGCAGTATCTTCCACGCGCAGGACCGGCGATATCAGATCTCAGCGTTTGGCTGCACCGCTTCTATCTGACACCTGTGTCCCCACCTGCACTAAAGGTTTTTGGTAATAAGTCCTGTCAGACAAAGGTGGTTAAGCCATGAACCGCAAAGGTGGGAGATATGCCCCTCGCAGGCGACTCAGGAAAGCTAATACCACAGCATTAGGAAATGAAAGCCCGCCTGAATGGCACATAATCTGACACAAGAGGGGTCTTTAATTTTCTGGGGTTCCCCGCGGTTGGCTTGGATGCCAAGGTTGGAAATGATACCCTTACGGGGCTTCATACTAGATGGGATAGAGCCTCACCTTTTGCTCTGCTATTTTTCTTCAATGTGACATTACTTTACTAGTCCAATAAGCCAGGACTCGGCAGAATTATTCATCTATGCAGATCAGGCTGGAGCCAGGCTTTGTTTTGTAGAGTCTAGCCTCCAGCGACGACCACTGCTGGTCATAACTCAAAACTCGGTGTCTACCAAGCAAAACAAAGAGGAACTAATTGAAATTTATACCGTAATGTGCAATCAGAAATGAGACTGGGGGGCCGCCACTGCTTCCTTGAGGTTGTAAAAGAGCCATATCTGTTCAATTAATTATACAGAAGGGAACAGCCAGGTCTGGTATTGTATTGATCCTTGTCGCGCTCTTTGTAGTCGCAGAGATGTATGTTTGCTGCTCCCCTGTTTGTTTGGGATGACCCAGCATAGATCATTCCATGATGGCTGCCGACCCCACATTCTCCCTTTTGAGAAATGCATCCGTCAGGCCGTTAAAACGGCAGCGGAAAGCACCTGTCATGATTTGGCTTGTTAATGGCAGGCCGTCGTCTCATTTGGGACACTGACCTGCCTACAGTCGCCTGTGAACTCCAAACTTTTGTGACTAAGAAGTTTTGCATGTCATGTATTTTGACAACTTATGGGGACAACACGGGCCGAAGTGATGTGATTCATCATAAAAGAGTCAAAAGTGTGATTGTTTGTATTACTGTACAGTCCTGTTATACCCACTCAGTAACCAGCCAACATCTGGTTGCCTTTTCATTTCCTTGTCAATGAGCCTTAATTTGAATCTTTGCCATGTTCCATTTGGAAAATACTTTACCCAAATTTACACCACATCACTGTTAATCCACGCAGGTCTTCATCTTTCAGTTTGATATCTATCAAGCATCTTTTTTCCTTCCCGCAGAAAATACAATGCAAGCCTTTGGTTGCTTTAGCGGATTCAAAGGATATTTGCCCGCATCATTTGAGGATGAGCAAGATGAAACAAGTGGCATTACCTGAGGCATTGTTGTATATTTCATGCGTCATGTGACTGGTGCTAGCCCTTCATGTATCACTGCAACAGGCAAAAGAAATATTAAACATTCTGGATCTTACCAGAAATGTCAGTGTGACTGTTCTATGCATTTTTTTCCTTCAAAATCTTATTCCTCAGAAAACGGGGAATAATCTGAAAGAACATAAAACTAAAGACAGGATAATGATGTCAACTCTCATAATTGAGTTATCCTAAAACCACCCCTAAGAAATTAATGTTATTGAAGCATTCTCGAAGTTCTGAACACCTGGAATTCGTAACCTCAGTGATTATTGCTTCTGTATTAGAAGATCTCGTGAAAGTTGTTTGGTAGTCTTAGGCCACACCAATTTAATTTCTCGGTTAACGGATTTTTCTAGAAAAATAATGGAGCAGGCGGGCGAAAAAAATGAAAAAATAAAAACAGGCCTAGGCATCCTATTATGGCCCAAAATGGTACGATAGGAGGTATGAAGTCAACACACCAGGCTGGTTCAAAATCTAAACAATGAATTTTGAACTTTTAATAATACCACTGCATTGAAAGATGGAATAACTGTAACAACTAGGATGGAAATGACTGTTTTTAACTGTTCAGGGCAAAATATGAGCATTTTGCAGTTGATTCTGAATTTTTATCTTTGTTTGCAAATCAGAAAAAAATGAAGCGGGCGAATCCGTTAACCAAGAAATTAAATTGGTGTGGCCTTAGGAAATAATGAGAGTTGAGTCACGAGCGACTGATGGTCACATGGTGCACTGGAAGAGTGTGACCATAGCTGGAGCTGTAGGGATGTTAATTGTGTAGTGCAGGTTTGTCCATACGAGGCATTTCTAACTGTTGTGCTCTAACTACAGGCCAAGTTGACCCCCCAGGAGAGGCTGAAAAGGAGGATGCAGCAGATGTTGAACAAACAATGTAAGTAACAGGTCAGGGGTCACGAGCACCACTGTTCCAGGCCGCAGCCTCTAATTGGCACCGTGGACAGCTGCCCCAAATACTGGCAATTTAATTACACCCCTCGCAAAAATGAGATGCGTATCTCTACCTGGGTATTAAGGTTGAACTTGATTTACTGTGAGACCAGAATGACTCCATGCATAACGAGTGCCTCTTGCATACCCAGATTTTTGTCCTTTGTGATTCTGTGACATACCAGTTAGATTATACATGGCAGGATTACAATTTTTCAAGTCAGCGTGTCTAGACCAGGTGTGCAGAGGGACCGACACAAAAGCTCTCTTTTACACATCAAAGTAGTGAAAACTTTTGTGACTGTGAATGATAGATTTTACAACAAACAGCTTGTAACAGAGGGCAGACCAGTTTTCGGTAACTCAACTATCTCTACGCAAGGAATTTTTTCTGTAGAAGTGGCTAGCCTGAATAACTGATTTCCGTTGGAACCCATAACTGTACTTACACGAAGTTAGCTGTTTTATGGGTGTCAGAGTTGGCCTGGCTAAAGTGACAGTTATTTTTGATTTATGGCAGGAGTGCGCCAGGCTTGTGCAGGATTATCAGGGCTGATTGAAATGTGGCTTGGAGGTCCACTGATATTTTGGGAGAAAATACCCAATATTTGCGTAGCCCCCGTCTAATTGGCAAAAGATGGCTTGATTTACGGCGTGGGTCATCACAGTGCATCCCTCGGTGGGTTTCGAATTAAGATGCCCCATCAAAATGCAGAAGTTTGTGTAAAGTATGGACACGTCCTACATCTGTCAACCCGGGCATTGTTGACCTCGCACATGACATGCTGCAATATTGATCTGTTTTGGACCCTGATTTGATATTGATGTTTCTTATTTACCTTGCCTCGCCTGTTCCATAATGCAGCTCATCTGCCCTAATGGGTGCGGGGACAGTTTGCGGGAGGACCAGAAAATGAAATGCGTCACTTATCCCGCCTTAACTGGGCACAATGCAGCCGAAACTGCCTCCGTAATTAGCTGCAAAATCATTAACGAGTTTGGAGTTGTGGGAAGCTTGTTTAGGGAGCCGGGGCCCGGTTGATATTTAGGACCCTTTAGCGTCGTTAGATATGCAGGTATGTTGTCACAGAGATGCCTCATTACAGTCCCTCAGGGACTGCCAGTAGATTTCTCATGCAGACAATTTCAAGGTACCTTTTCCCTCTGTGGGGAGACTGCCAAGTTCAACAGCAGAATGCAAATTGTCCATCCCGAGGATAGCACGTCAGATGGAGAAGTTCGGCAAATATTTCATCTCCAGTGTGCTTAATTGCTGTCACCCCATGCTGGGAGATTTTTCATCTGTGCCGGCGCACTGGCAGCTCCCGTTGCCTTGGTAACAAAGACAGATGGCTAGAAGGAACAGACAGTAGTCTCCGCACAGCGCGTTGGTCCTCTGCCCCTGGTTACGACTAAATGTATTATTTTGTAGCCCGGGGTGACAAGGAGATAGCGCTACCCAATATCCCTTCATCTCCGCGGTACAGTCCAGATGACTTGGTGCATTTTAATTGTGTTTTTCTCATTTTGTGTGTCCCCCAGACAAGGCCGACAAGAAAGCTGCTGCCAAGAAAGAGGAGGAGAAGGAACAAGAGCGCCTGGTGAGCAGCAGGACCTGAAAAACGCACAATTTAAACAACAATAACAAACGTGCAAACCTATTCAAGTCTTTTATTTTATATGTATCATCATCCATTCTGGTGACCTGGTAAGGTAAAAACGTACATATAATATACAAAAAATGTAATACATGTACAATGTATCATGCAGACTATGTAAAAAAAAACTGTGCAAGGTTTAAAATTCTGTACAAGTCCCAAATTCCAATCACTCTTACTTCAACAATCATGTTATAACAATTATCATCAGCAAGTATACGCCCCATATATTTGTGTGTATACAAAAAACTGCATTTGCCCAATTGGGATTTGTTCTGTATTATCATTTACAGCCACCATAGGAATTTTGCAACCCATGCACACCTTCATGATTCACTTAATTGTTGCTTTCATAATGAGACCTCCACGTCATGAAAGTAATTTGTATTGTCTGAAGAGACAGGTTTAATTGTACCGGTGATTAGTCAGCTATGGATAAGATACAGAGTAGTCAATATGTATTGATCGAAATTGCTACGTGTGCCATATGTGAGAAATATTCCAAGTGTATGTGTGGGGGGGGGGCTGAGCAAAACAAACCCTGCACAACACAGCCTTTTGGGTTGAATTGTGGTTCAGATAAGGATAAAGTTTCACACAGGCATTTTCAGCATCGTGCAAGCTAATATTACAGGAAGTTGTCTATACACAAAATATAATTTCCGGCCCTAAGAGTGTGAAACATTCTGGAATCCTCGCCACATTGTGGGCTCTCCTGCAGATTTTGGAACCCGTCCAAGCCAGCTGCCTTACGATCACTTAAAATTTCATTTGTGAGGCAAGAAGTTGACGAAAATAGATAGCACCTTCATCTGAATGAACATAGGTACAGTTTAGCGCCAGCCTCATTGACATGCACAGTTAGTATGCTAGCCAAATTTGGTCTGGGGTAAGGACTAAGTGGTGCTTGAATTTTAGAGCAGTTTCAACAAGCTCACCAGTTCACATCCCCTGCACTCAGGGTGAAATTTAGAAGTTCACTCTCCACCAGGTCCTCAAGTAAAACAAGTCACAGTATTTCCAGCCTTGAAAAATCACTTCAGAATTGCACTTAAGTTACAGCAAGAATTGTTATTGTGTCATAAAAAAAAGAGCTCCCATGGAAGCTGAACTTGACAATGGTACTAGACGTTCCACCTTGACGCTAGGGCAATTCCGAGTACTGCAGCAAAATATTCTTCTGAGCTGTAGGGGGGGACTTAGAAGGAATAACTTGACGAGCGCCCAATAAATTGGGGAGTCAGCCAGTTTGTACATCTCCCCTTGCCAATGCATAAAATGGCAAACCCTTG